AAAAAGCATTTAGAAAATGTTTAAAAATATATTTAAAATGAGCAAAAATAGACAATTGGGATTTAAAAGGAAAAACGTTAAGAAAGAGAGAGAGTGAACAGGAAAGAGGGAAATCAGTGGATCCTGAGGAAGCCGTAACAGATTCTCCCAGTTTACAGTTTTCAGTTCATTTTCAAATTGGAGCAGTTTGTGTGTAGGGATTCCCGCCTGTTGACATTTTACTGTGGGCCCAAAGAAACCTGTCTTTAATCGTTTCTTTACTCAGTTTTCTAACAGTCAGGGTCATGTTATGATCAGAGAGGCCAGTTAAGAGGTTGTAGATTTGAACAACCCGCTCTGGATTGTTTGTAAAAACTAAATCTAACAGTGTTTCACTAGTTAGGGTGATTCTTGTCGCCTTAGTGATCATTTGATGCAATTTGTGTTTAGATACAATCATTCTGAGTTTTTCCTTTTTCCTAATATCCAACCAACTTATATTAAAATCTCCCATTAAAATAGTTTCAGCTCGTGTATTAAGTGACTTCAGTAATTCATCAAGATGTTCATAAAATAAATCATTATGACAGGGTGGGTTATATAAAATCATTATGTTAAATGTGGTTGTAGATGAAAGCACGACATTTAAAAGCAAACATTCTAAACCACGCGTGTCCAATAATGGAACATTTAAGAGTCTCTCTCATGTAAATAAATACACCCCTTCCCCTTCCACACTGTCGATCCCTCCTATAGCAGGTGTGTCCAGGGACATCAACCATGTTCGTTGAGACGTTACTATTTAGCCAAGTTTCAGTAAGAGCTAAACAATCTAAATTCGAGTCACTTAGTAAGTGTTGGACTTCATCTTGCTTTGACATAATGCTACGAATGTTAAGGTGCCCCCCCAAGTATACCCTTTGGTTCAGTCCTTGGGTCCCAGATCACCTTTGCATGATTTACTGTTTGAAAAAAAATTCAGTTCTCATTGCTTTTGTGCTGCAGGTCCAGAGATTTTTGTATCCTGTTTTGTTGCAGAAAGTTTAATAACTCCAACTTTTACTGTTGAAGGATTAAGTGCATGAAGCTTAAGTGTAATTTCTCCACCCTGTGCAGGAATTCATCCTCAGCTCTTCCACACGTTTCTTTATTCTGAAAATCTCGGGAGCTTCTCTCCATTTCCGCGTCCGATTTCCTGTCTTTCCTTCCCCAAAAATGTCGAACTTGGCCCGTTTCAGAGGCGTCGCGCGTAGAAAATAGAACCGGCGCGTAAAGGCCGCGACATGCTGCTCCTGAGACGCGGCCGACTCGCGCTGCTGACGGCTCCGGTGGAAAAGGTTCTGTTGACCACAGCGGTTCCTTTCAGCAGCTATGACGTGCTGCTGCAGTAACGTGCTGCTGGTGGAAAGAAGGGGTTGGACTGTACACCAGTAGACAAATCCCAGCGATTTTTGCCAGGACCAGGATTCAGCTGTATTTCGCCACTCAATAGGAGTAGAAGGAAAAGTAATGATCTTGTATTCCTTCTGCCTTTAATATGTTGTCTATCCTTGATTTCAGTTTGACTGTTATGCCGGGATGTTAAATAAGCAATGATATCCACAGAAGTTCACGGTTGGTTTTTCAATTAATGAAGTTTCATCCAGTTACCTGGCATTTCATCTCCAGTCACCATCAGGCATTGTCCAAGTGGAAAACAGAGAAACCACACACAGAGTAGCCAAACCGAGACATACCTTGTGTGTCCCGCCTCTTCCCTTTGGCCAGTGTTTTGAAGCGTATTTCCTTGAGCACAGCTAGAATGTGGCAGTTTAAAAACAAAGAAAAAACCTTGAAGAACTGGAGAAGCTTCAGACCTTTTGGCCATGTGCTGACGTCTCCTTCGTCGTTGCTTTGATCTGAAGTTGGAATTCCTGGGTCATTTATCCAGGTGATCTCTTTCTCATAGATGCAAAACTGCGCCACAGTTTGCACACCTTCAGCCAGTATTAGCCAAAAAAGCGTGCACACAGATGAAAATAAGAGTAGCCGTGGGGCCTAGCAAACCACCACTGCTCTTGTCAGCCATCTTGGATTGAACCTTAAGCTTACTCAAGCTCAGCAGTCCTAGAAACGAGCTCTGGTGTTTCTGGTCACATCCTCCCTCCTACACACTCACTTTCTGCCATAAATGGACTCGTGGTGACTTGATGGGAGGAACATGGACGATGCAAACTACTTGTGAATATTCCATCTGTCTGTCCATCCATTTCTGGCTGCTTATCCGGGGTCGGCTGCTTGACCCTCAGGTTCCATTTTAGCCCATTTGGACAGTTTTTTTACTTTTCCTTTGGATGCCATTTCACCATCGTTTGTGCTTTTGGTACAACATTTTGTCGCAAAACCTCTCTGGACAAATATAAAAATTCAGTTTGGAACTTTGAAAATAGACCAAAAGGAAACACCATGAAAAATAAACTACACTTGAGTCTTTAACGGACAAAAACGTCCCATTGACTTCCGTTCAAACCACAGTTTTGATTCTGCAACATCTGCAACCAATAATCACACTTTCTGTGGGTTTCACTTTAGTCACATTTCACTGTTCATCACCAAAGTCAGTCATTTCTCCGTATGTGGCCCAAGTGAGAAACTCTACACATGTCCTCAGATCTTCTGCTGTTTGTGCTAACTTCAAAAGGTCAGCCTGACCTCTGATAAGCAGATAACTTCACAGACAGCATGAGTATTTGCTGCAGATGTTACAGGATCACAAACCGATTTGAATGGGACGTTTTTGCCAGCTAAGACCAATCTGTTGCTACACAAAAACTATTGATGCACATTTAAATAAATTGTTTTGTATTTTATAACATGACCAAGACTGATTTCCAATAAATGCTCCAGGAAGAAAAAGTGTTTTTTTTTTTAAATAACAAATTTTTGTGTTTTTTTCCCCTAAATTACAGAAATTACTTGAAGGGTAAAAAATCCTCAAAATGATGAACATTTTAAATGTTGGAGCAGGGCTGAAGTTTAACAGATCTATTAAAAAAGCAATTAAAAACAGAATGTATACGTCTTACCAGCGGGCGTTTTTGTCCTCTAAGACTCAAGCGTACAGTAGATTAACGTGAAGCCTGAGGGTTAAGCCAAGGGACCCAGACTTCCCTCTCCCCAGCCACTTGGGCCAGCTCCTCCAGGGGAATCCCAAGGCGTTCCCTGGCCAGGTGAGACATAGTCCCTCCACCGTGTCCTGGGTCTACCTTTAGGTCTCCTCCCAGTTGGACGTGCCTGGAAAACCTCACCAGGGAGGCGTCCAGGAGGCATCCTGACCAGATGCCCGAGCCACCTCAACTGGCTCCTCTCGATGTGGAGGAGCAGCGGGTCTACTCCGAGCCCCACCCAGATGACCGAGCTTCTCACCCTATCTCTAAGGGAGAGCCCAGCCACTCTTCGGAGAAAACTCATTTCGGCCGCTTGTATCCGTGATCTCGTTCTTTCGGTCACTACCCAAAGCTCATGACCATAGGTGACACCGGGTCTGCCACTGCCCACACCTCTGTGGTTTTTTTTAAATCAGGACACCGGATCTCTGGTATTTAGCTTTAATTGTTTCTGATCATATAACTTGTGTGACTGCTTTGTTTCGTCTGTGAGGTGCCCTGCTGTCATATCTGTACGACGCTACACACAGACTGAATCAAAGACATCTGCGTACTCACCCAAACCTGCTGCTACCATCTGGAATCAGCGTAGACGATTTTTGGCCTGAGTGACTTATCGTCAGCTGCCCACATGACACAGAAGCACACCTTTACCTGTGTCTGATGAGCCCTTTAATGGTGTAATGTACCAAAAGCTCATGTTTATCACCCAAATGACCAAAAGTTCACTTCTTCCTACAAGTCAGTCTGACATCATGGTGTGGATATGGAATCCATGACCGTGACCCGATCTTCCTAACTTCTCCTGTGGAATGTCACAAGAGACGAAGACGGTGCAGAAGACTTAAAACTTCTCACCGGTCTTTGTCTACTTTTAAGACTAGGCTTAAAACATTTTTATTTGATAGGGCCTATGGTTAAAATCTGATGTTAGCCTAGATCTGGACGAGTGGGGGAGTACAGGGAGGTGGAGTGTACAGTCGGTAAAGACGGATCTCCCTTGTCCTGACTCCAACATGCCTCCATCTAAATAGGATAGATTATCCAGAGTTATCTCTGTAGTTATGCTGCTATAGGCTTAGACTGCTGGAGGATACACTGACCACTTTCCACACTCTACTGCTTTCTTCTACTATCTGCTCTTTAACTGTATTATTTCCTGCTATTTCAGCAGTTAACTTTATTTTGTCTCCAAGTGTTTTTCTCCCCAGAAGAAGCTACAACGATGTTCTGCTGAGCTGTGGTGGCCTCATGGAGGGGGGGGGGGGGGGGGGGGGGCATCGTCTAGCACACTGCTGCTAACCACTTAAACATTCTCCCTCTCCTGATAATAACTTTTTGCTTTCCTTGACATTGGATGTGCTACTACTAGTTTACCCGTTTAATTATAGATCCACTAAGATAAATACAATAAAGTTTATCTCTCACCAAATAGAATATTTACTAAGAAATCACAATGTAACCATAGACACATTAGTGTGTGTGTGTGTGTGCGCGCGTGTGTGTGTGTGTGCTCTGTCTTCTCCATCCCCAGTGAGTCGTGGAGGATGGCTGCTTATACTGAGCCAGGATTCTCTGGAGGTTTCTTCCTGTTAAAAGGGAGTTTTCCTCTCCACAGTCACTGCATGCTTGCTTAGTATGAGGATTGCTGTAAAGACTCTGACACTAGTCAGTGACTCGATGCGACCTGCTGGGTTCCTTATATAGGACACTTGTTACTGATTGGCTTAATGACCTGACCTGTATTGTTTACTGTGTGCAGGTCCTTGAGACGAGTCTGGTCCTGACTTGGTGCTTTATAAATAAACTGAATTGAAGTGAAACAACAGAAACTTCAGATAAAAACAGAAACACGACAGTAATAAAAACAGCTGATGAGTTGATAAAAAACATTTATTAATGCTGAAATCAACGATGACATCATGCTTTCACCACGATTAAAAACACAGATATTGCACCGGATCCAGCCTTCACCCCCCTAACGACACGCGGGCTCAGCGCTGAGCCGGTCTGCAGGCACGCCTCGTCATTCCCTACAGCTCCTGGTCTGGAAGGCTTCCTTGTGTGGAGTTGGAGGTGAAGTGAAGCTCAGTGACAGAAACATCAGGAGCGGGAAACAAAACAGTTCAGATTCTGAGTGGGCGTGTGAAGGTTCGGGGGCGTGTCAGAGATGAAGCTACAGAAACAGATCTGAGGGTTTTTTTTTCCATTGGACTTCTGTCCTCGACTCCAAAATCAGATTTTATTCCATAAAAACATCTTCAACATCCAACTTTTAGACTGCGGTTCCTGGTTTAGACCTGGATGAATCTTTCTTCTCGGCCCTGTTCGTTAGACACAAAATAAAAGCACAGACAGATTTTACTCTGAAATTCTCTCAAACGGCTGAAACGTAAAAGGAAGTTTTAATCCCAGTTACATTCTTTGGATCAACGTTCCAGATTGGATTTGAGATGTTGGAGTTGTGTTGGTCACCTGATCTGACAAGATTCTGCTTCTAATTCTGGAGGAAAATTTTCCACAAACCAGGAAAATCGGGTTGTGATGAAACGGATTAGTGAAGACGTAATCCTCAACTCCTGAACAGGAATAAATTCTGTCCATTTGGGAAGAAGCCTACTTATTTCTGACTGAACCACTGATGGATCTTTTAATGGTGATGAAGGTTCTGCAGAACTCACCAGTAAACGAGTCAGAACCGGAGCTGATCCGGTTCCACCGGCCCTTAACACACAGGGATGTAAACACCAGTCTGCTGGGTGATGCTTTCAGAGACCACACACACACACACACACACACACACACACACACACACACACACACACACACACACACACACACACACACGTAAACACACACACGTAAACACACACACACACACACACACACACACACACACACACACACACACACACACACACACACACACACACACACGTAAACACACACACACACACACACACACACACACACACACACACACACACACACACACACACACACACACACACACGTAAACACACACACACACACACACACGTAAACACACACACACACACACACACACACACACACACGTAAACACACACACACACACACACACACACACACACACACACGTAAACACACACACACACACGTAAACACACACACATACGTACGTACACACACACACACACACACACACACACACACACACACACGTAAACACACACACACACACGTAAACACACACACACACACACACACACACACACATACGTACGTACACGCAGACACACACATGTACGTACACACACACACACACACACACACACACACACACACACACACACACACATACGTACGTACACGCAGACACACACATGTACGTACACACACACACACACACACACACACACACACACGTAAACACACACACACACACGTAAACACACACACACACACGTAAACACACACACACACACACACACACACACACACACACACACACACACACACACACACACACACACACACACACGTAAACACACACACACACACGTAAACACACACACACACACACACACACACACACACACACACACACACACACACACATACGTACGTACACGCAGACACACACATGTACGTACACACACACACACACACACACATACGTAAACACACACACACACACATACGTAAACACACACACACACACATACGTAAACACACACACACACACGTACGTACACGCAGACGTATACACACACACACACATGAACACACACGCATGAACACACACAACCTGACAGGCTGGTCCTAAATCAGCTGATTCGTTTGGATCAGACGTTCCGTTAGTTTCCAAAACCCAGAGAAGGAACGGATCGGAGAGAAACGGCTGCTGGGAACTTCACTAAAGGAAAGTTTCAGGAATTAAAGCTGACAGAGGCCCCGCCCTTTTGTCCAGTGACTTCCTGTCAATCCTAACATAGCCCCGCCCCATTGCAAGCTCTGCTTTTAGGTTCCTTCAGATTTCCTGATGGAGATTCCTGATCCGGTGTGTCCTCAGACGAACACAAGATCTCCAACGCCATCACACCCAGGAGACGGACCGGGTCACACGGGTCAGAACCCGTAACAGTGACCAAGTCCTAAAGTCGTCTCTCGTTTCTCTACTTTCACACAGAACCTAAACAGAGGAACTGTAGACGGGTTCTAGAGAGGTTCTGCCCGGGTTTTATAACCTATGATGATGCCACTCCACTAGAATCTGGGTCATCAGGAGGAACTGGGTTTCTGTGGTTCTGATTTGCAGCCGCGTGGGCCGTTTGGACTAAAGCAGGAAGTGGAGTTGAAACGATGCAAACACGAATACATCTGGAATGGAGCTACCACCTCCACACCTATCTAACATCTGGAGTCCCATCCGAGGACCGGTTCTGATCCAAACATGCAGTGAGTGGGAGGAAACCAGCCACTCTCTGATGCTATGTCTTCTTCTTGGCCGACATGGACACAGTGCTGGCGGGCGTGGCAGCTGTCGACTGGCGGTCAGACCTCTGGGGCTCCGATGCTGCAGCCATCTTGGGTGGGGCTGACTGGGGTTCTGATTGGGGGGCGGACCTGATCACAGAGGGCGTGTGATCAGTTTTCTGTCTGCTCAAAGACGAGTGGGGGGACTGGGGGGGAGACACCTGTTTGGGAAGGCAGGGGTCAGGGGGCGTGGCTTCTTCAGGTCGTTTCTGTTCCTTTGTACCAAGTTTCACTGGACCAGGAACGCTCTTTGCTACGGTAGCCAGCTGGGACACCACCCTGTCCATGCCACTCCCACTGGGTGGAGCCAGCGGGCCTGAGGAGGAGGGGCCAGGGGCTGACGAGGAGGAGGGGCCAGGGGCTGACGAGGAGGAGCCAGGGGCTACAGAGGAGGGGCCAGGTCCTAATGAGGAGGAGCCAGGGGCTGACGAGGAGGAGGGGCCAGGGGCTGACGAGGAGGAGCCAGGGGCTACAGAGGAGGGGCCAGGTCCTAATGAGGAGGAGCCAGGGGCTGACGAGGAGGAGCCAGGGGCTGACGAGGAGGAGGGGCCAGGGGCTGACGAGGAGGAGCCAGGGGCTGACGAGGAGTTCTGACTTGCAGCAGCACACAGCCTCCGGTTGTCGGCCTCCTTCTTCTCTTTGGGGATACCTGGGGAGGAGCAGGAGGTGCGGGGGGGCTCCCGGGCCTCTGCGGTTCTGTCCATATGAGTAGAAGAGCTTGGTGTCGGGGGGGCAGTGGTTTTGGGGCAGTCCGACTCACCTGCTGCGGACCGTGATGGGGCCACCTTGGCCGGTGGGGGGGTTGGTTTGAGGAAGGTGTCCTTGCAGACGGAGATGAAGGCGCTGCCTGGGGTGGAGAAGGGGAGGAGACTCTGGGGGGGTTTAGTGCTCGGTTCTGGAACCTTCCCCTGCTGTCTGTCTCTGTCTTCGGTGTGGGGGGGTGGCCCTCCAGTCCTTGGGTCCGTGTGGGGGGGTGCTGCCACGGTGACCTGAGAAGGCCCTGTGTGGGAGAAGGTGGCATGGGGGGTGGAGGGGGAGAGGCAGAGGGAGGGCAGCGTGCCCCCAGGACCCGTCCTCACTGTGGTGGGTCTCAGAAGGGGAGGGGGGATGAAGGTGGTCCCCCTGAGTCCATCTTGGCTGTCCTCTGATCCCTCGTCAGTCTCGTCCTCAGAAGAGTCCACCTCATGGATGGCGTCTTGCTTCTGCAGCGACTCCCGGCGCTCCGCCCGGTCCTGTCGGATCGCAGACAGCTTGTCTTTTAGTTTGCTCTTCCCGGGAGCCAGGCCCAGGGACCCGGACACAGAGCCGAGAGCGCCGTCTCCTTCCTGACGTCCCAGCTTCCTGGAGGAGGGGGTGCGCACGGTAGACATCAGACCGTCGCTGGTCGACTCCTGGGATCAGACAGAAACCCACAAAAACATTCATGAGAACCCGATCAGAACCACAGAGGTTCCCAACCCCACCCGTTACAGACTTCAGACATTACGATCACACCACCGGGACTTCATTCATGTAACCTCACAACCTCAGCAGGCTCCATCATGAGGACCTCACTGGGGGGGCGAACCCATGTTGGGACCCACTGAACTGCAGCACAGCAGACCCACTCAGGTCTTACCTGGAGACTCTGTAGGCTCGGCTCTCTCTGCAGGATCTCCTTCTTAAAGTCTGAATGGGAGACATCCAAACTGTGTTTGCGACTCCCTCCGGCGGCCCCCGCTGCACCTCCCACCCCGGCAGGAGGCGAGGAGGAGCCAGAGAGACTGGAAGCCAGTTTCTCCGCTGACTGGACCCTCTTGAGGAGCGGCGAGCGTGGAGGCTCTGCGCTCTTGGGTCTGGAGATCTGTCTCGCCAGAGGGGGGGAAG